TAGTCGTGTGTATTTCCATTTACACCCCGTTCGAAAAGGAGTTTAAGTTCAAAAATATAGTGAAGTTTTTGCGCCCCATTAATGATAAATTATTGTAGTTTAACAAGACAGAAAAGTATACGGAATCGTTTATTTCGCGACCTTCCATCTGAATAGTGAACTCGCTTAACCTGCAAATGTCGTTTCAGAGATCCCACGATTTCTAGTAGAGTTAAAAAAAGAAACAAATGTCAATGGTAAGAGGTTGTGCCACCATAAATATCTAGTTATTGTTTATATCTATAATATAAATATCTAAATAGGATTTGTCACCTAAAGAACACTGCAAAAATATAATTCGTGAATTCCGTACGGGCACGTACTATGTTACCTCATAAATGAATGAAGAAGTCCAAAACTAGCAAAACAGCGCTATTATGCTGGTTTTGAGCTTGATATAAATAAATCTACATTTATGAGATGACAGAGCGGTACGGACATCGTGTTCTACCGACTGTATAACCGACATTACTCTTAGAAACTTTTCGTCATGATGTTTGCAGCTATATTCATTATGGCATTGTAACTTAACTCTAGTGGAATTAAAAGATTCGCAGCCGACGTACTTATTTCCTGAAGAATACAACATGGGTCACGATGAGCATCGAAGTGTTTTTAAGTAATTACGCAAGTTTTCCAAAGAGCATATGTAAAACGACTTATTTAAATAACCTTTCCAATTATAATATTAAGGCAATATCCATAAAAATATCATACTTTGATGAAGTCAGTCGTTACTGTTAATGACTTTATAGTTTTAAATAGGGTCGTTGTACAACCATATTAAAGCTAAACGTAGCCTGCCATTACGACACCTGACATATCGCATGCTGAGAGCACTTCTATTGAATTACAAATCGAAAAAGCACAATACAAAGCAGTGACGAGACGAATCCATTGTTACGTAATCTTTGTTATTTGGATGACACTGAAATATTTCTTTTCTATCCGGTTTTATTTGTCTAGCGTTTATTTAAGTCGATGGAGTTTAATTATATTACTGATAAGAATAAATTCTATCTTTATTTGTTTTATAAAATAAGGGAGCTTACATTCTTTCGAAAAATAATAAATTCTATCCCACATCAGTGTTTTTCTACATTATGGCAAATAATGCAATTTCATGAATTAGTAACCTAAAGAGACAGAATATTTGGAACAATACTTCCAGCTTTTTCTTTAATAAATTAAAGTTATAGCTAGCTACAGATTCAATTCCGTGCGAAAAAGAAGGAAGCGGGGTTCATGATAGTGTAGCCCTTTTGTACCTACCTAATTTTATTGCTACGGATTTCGCTCTCATTGTTAACATAACTATATCCTCGTCAGCCTGAGCCTCGCCTCAAGCTGCACTGTTACAAGCACTCATGAATACCTAGATGCTACGCCATCAGTTCGTAAATCCACGACGGGAGACCTTGTACTGAGAAGAACCGGCAAGAAACTCAGCAAAGGCTGTTTTTCTCTCTTTGTATTAAGAGTCGTCAAGATTAGTAAGTGATATGATTATGTTTTAAACTTTTTCGAATCTGTAACTTAGTACTAACACTTGTTTGGTTCCTTAAATTAAAGTAGATAAAGCGCATTCACCATTAATATTACACGTTTGCGATTTAACATTATCCCCGTTATTCGAAGCGTCAAAACAGAAACGTGCCTTTATACTTGGTAACTTATTTGCAAATTAATTCTACTTTAATTTGGCTTTCACTTTTTGAGAATTGTTCCACCGAAAAAGTTACCAGAATATATTTTAAAAATTGTTGGACTTCTAATGGCAGAGTGCTCCTTCGCAGGGATTCGAACTCCAAGTTGATCCAAGTTAAAACAGAATTATGTCTTATCTAGCGGCCCGCCCTCGCTTCGCTTCGGTGTAGAGCTGAAGTGTAGACTACAGTTTTTGTTCTCAGGCTTATATTATACACAATGACATTCATGTATGATTCTTCTTATACCTGCATGCGAAGTCTCAACCCGATCGGTTTAAAATTGACAAAGTTTCATACAAACTTTCATTCCCTATTTTTTATCCCCTTGGGGGCAGAATTGATCAAAATCCTTAGCGGATGCCTACGTCATAACATCTACCTGCATGCCAAATTTCAGCTCAATCCGTCCAGTGGTTTGGGCTGTGCGTTGATAGATCACTATGTCAGTCAGTCACCTTTGAGTTTTATATATATATAGGTAGTCAAGTCAGTGAATCAAATTTCAAAGCTAAATATAGTATAATTAAAATACAAACACACATCAAAAAAAGTTTGAGATTACTTGCAAAAGCTGATATATTTTCAAGATTTAACTTAATCAGGATTAAATGTTTACGTTATAATCATTTTTTATTTAAAAATACAATTTCTGAAATTAATAATTAAACTAATTTTATATTTTAAATATAAAAAAAATAATAATTCAATCCTAAGGCGATTGTAATAGAACTTTGACAGATATAAAAAGTTAGTTTAATCAAACTTAGAAACCTTTTATTACTAAATTGTTGTTCATCTAATATAAAATAACTCCTCCTCTGGCTCGAACATATGCGGAGATCCTCCTGGGCATGCTGAGGATCAAATTATCCAGCATTTCTTGTGGTAACGTGTCCCATTATTGTACAGCAGCTTTCCTGAGCTGCGGCACTGTCTGGGTGGTGGATGCCGGTTCCAAACAGCTCGCTTAAGAGCATCCCACGCGTGCTCTATTGGGTTCAAGTCAGGAGAGCCGGCACGCCAGTCTCACCTTGTGATTTCGTATTCTCGGAGAGCAGCATTGACTCGTTGAGCTCGATGTGCGGGCGCATTATCGTCAACCAGTACAAATTGGTGCCCATGGTTTACTCGGAAAGGTCTGACGATTCCATCAATAGCGACTGTTTTGTGTCTGTCTGCCGTGTTGAAGCCAAGCCTTAATAAGGCATTAAAGGCGTTTTAGCCCCAATCATAATACCACCCCAAATGGACACAATATGCTACGGTGTACAAGGCAGTATTCTAGGGCCGACGCTATTTCTATATATATGGATCAGCTTTTCTGTCTATTTCTTGAAAACTGCAACATCTTTTCCTATGCCGATGATACGGCACTTCTCATCTATGGTAATAGTTGGGTCTCAGTTAAGCATAACTTGCAACAAAAACTTGCTTTTTCGAAACATAAATTAAAAAAAAGAACAAAAAAAAACAGCATTTTCACAATGGATTTCTATATTTTTTCCATACAGCTTTTCTGTTCTATTTTTATCAAAAGCATGTAGTACATTCCCAGGAGGTATAGTATAAATTAATTAGCCCACTTTATTTACCGTTCAGGACGTATTCTAACCTTTACTCACTGACTCACTAAAGTAACATTACTACAGATTAATGACATTTGGCTACAGACGTCGTAAGGTCAAGGATGCTTACATAGACAAGCGTTCGTTCCTATTTTTCTATAAATTGTAATCTATTGTCTTAAATTTGGCGGAAAGTTCAGCTACTACTACTAACAGAATGTGCATATGGGAAGACTGGTAGACTGAAATATGGAGGCAAAGGGGAGAATCAAAGAAATATTTGTATACCTTTATTCAAAATATTTAAGTAAGTTCAGTATAATGATGAGTTTCCCTGCCCAGATCAGCTACTAGTTCCGTGATGATTCAAATCTTTAGTTCCGGGTACACCATTAGACACCAGGGGTTCATAATTTATATCTAAAATAAATATGTAAATTGACATTTAATATGACAGTGTGTGAAGTTTTTAAATTAATATTTTAAACATGCGAATATTTATTCCGTGAACATGGCGCTTGCAAGCAACAGTGCTGAAATGTAGGGGACTTGCAAACAACAAGGTACATGGTATCAATCCCAGACATAGCTCAAATTACTATAATAACAATTATGTTTTTAATTTTATTTGAAAACTTCGGTGCAAGTGAACCATAGATAAGATATATTACTTTTGTAGAATATTGTTTTAACTTGGGCTGGGTTCCTCAGGCACGCAAGCTACTCGTACATACTAAAATGAGAGCAAAACTTGTTAAATAACACTAGTTTAGTTAGTATAACTACTATAATTCTTAAATTAAATAATAAGCCTTTTCAGGTCAGGCCTAACAGGACCTGAAAAGGCTGCGAAACGTCAATAAATAAATAAAGTTCGTGCATTAACCAGTTAAAACTAGTTTTATTTAATGAATGATGTGCGTGAAAACCTAATAAACAAAAAAGCAAAATTTGTGTTTTATTTAAACAATGCTACGACTGCGCGAGTGGCGCAAATATTGGGGGTTTATTGAATATAGGAACTCAAAAAATATAAAGTTAAATCTGGGGATCTTGTTCAAAATAATGAATATTAAGAATATTCGCATGTGATAATGGGTCAGGTTTCACAAATACCTTCTGCTTATAAATATATGCTCCCATATAACACATTTGTGTATAATAGTTAAGTACCATACGTGTGAATTTCATATAAAGTAAATTAGGTGCTAAGTCATAAGCCCATTAAATACATGCATTATGAAAATATCTCAGAGAAATTGCAGAATTAAACTTGAAAAAACCGTAAAGCGTCATGGTAGAGTACTCAACTCACGAGTGCGATGTTAAAAAAAACACGTTTATGCCATTAATATGAAACTGCGACTACTCATTACTTAAAGAGTTCTTTAATTATACATTAAGTTATTGAACATTAAAATTCTTATGGAACAAAAGAATAATAATAGTGGCAATGTGGAGAATACGAAAATCGAATCAATCAATATACAAGTTTAGCGGTATCATCGCGTGTAGTGCAACCAAAGTGCGTTGCAGTGCGTTTGTTTGGTTTTCTACGGTTATAATATACGTTTTTAGTCGGTCACCTTGCAATAAGGTATGGCGATCGCGACTCAAGCCGGGTGCAGGGCGAGAGTGGGCGACCTCATATAGCTTGAGCGGGAGGCGGTTCCTTTATTTGTTGGTTGTCCGCGACGTGCTAGTGACGTGTGGACACAGGACATCATGCGTACGATATTGGTGAGTACCTACCTACCTATTGATAGATACATTTCAGTGACATGGTCAATTGTCAAGGGCAGATTGGTCCTTCCTAGTAATATTAACCCTTAGCTATTAATATTAATAAGTATATAGGATAGTGTAAATTATTTTGGACAGATTTGACTGAAATAGACTTGTTACTTATATATTTTTTTTTTAATTTAATAAATTTAATAATACGAGTACAGTCAAGCCGTTATCACAAAAGTTAGTGCTCTACTTTATAAAATTATTAATTAATTAATGTAATCATTGTCACTTTTAAATGAATTAGTGAGAAAACATTTGAAAAATATGACAGTTGGTAGTAAATATAAATATAAGATACATGATTTAATCTAATTTAAAATTAGTTGGTCGTGTTTATTTCGTTTGGTCTTTAGATAGCTTAGTTCAAATTTTTATACTTAGTTGCGAATAAGGCACGACCTCGAATACGCAAAAAACAAACATAGTGCATAATTAATTGTAAGCAGACACATTACTATGGCCACTGGATTGTGAAAGTGTAACAAGTCGTGTAATAAAGATAATTGCTCGATTTAGATTCAGTGTGAGATAGGAGACAGAGTGGACTTCGCGATTGAATGAAATCAAGTGTTATATCAGATGAATTCAGGTCGACGCCTATACATTACCGCTCATAAAATATATTGGTTACGCGGGGTTAACCTTGGTCGCTCGTGAGCTGACAAGTTATTTCAGTGCGAACAAATCTCACTCGGTCACCTTTCAAAGCATAAAAATAATGCCCTTCTTAATTCATAAGGCGGAACTAATTGTTGGTACGAACGTAATGTTTGGCAAGTGACCCGTTGTCATGTAAACTATGCTTAAACTATGAAATTACGCAAAACGTGCAACTTTTACGGTTACTTATAATTCTTGCTGTTTTTAAAGTTGTTGTACTTAGCTATAGCTACCCCCAGTAAATATAAGTACTTAGCTAGAAGTGAATTCACATACCAACTTACATTATTGAAAATGGTCTAACTAACAATTGTGTGGCGAATAACCAGATTTGAAACTCGTTTAACTACCTTACCAGCCTTACGCTAATTTGCACTATTATTGCAAAATACTTATTGGTTCAATACAGAAAAGTAAAGTACGACATAACTATCGTAATTCGCCGTGCCTAATATAGTCTCTCTGGCTAAGACTGCAGTGCGTACTCATAGAAAGCGTAATGTTATTGTAGATAGATTGTACTTGAGCGATCCAAAGACTTGCTTTTATTTAATAGCTAAACTCAAAAGTTAATTCATAAAATTATTAGTCCAATAATATAGCTATCATATTTATCAGATATTTTCGATTTTATACAATAATATAATAAATACTGGACAAATAACAACAATTATTCATAACCAGCTAGAGTTTGTACTATGAAACACACATTTTATCACACAAATCTCAAATAAGTTATCTTACCGGGATTGATCTAGTACCTTGGGAGGAGAAGGCTGGAGGTACCATCATTTAACGCAGTAATCAAAACATTGTAAATTCCTATCTGGTTGCGGGTATTGCTACCAAATTGTGTAGCGATATTTTGAGTCATAATATTTTTGCTATGGCCGGTCATAGGACGGATAACTACAAATTTATCATTTTGAGTCAGGGACGTTTTAACAAGGGCAAAGAGGGCCAGGACCCGGAGCGGCATCCTGCGAGGGGTAGCTGCAAGAGCTTCGAGGGACGGCAAAAACCATATAAAGGCACCGATGCCTTTAATGAGAGCCGGCTAACAAAGATATCCAAGCCGTCAACCTGAACCTATCGGTGTAGACAGAGGCGTATTAACCCTAGGGCCAGAAGCTTAGAGCCTAAGACCTAGGGCGGCAGAAGCCATATAAAGGCGTTACTGCCCTATATTTTGTTTTACTAATTCTTGGAAGAAGGGGTTGGATCAGTACCGATAATGAGCTAAGGCATCGGTGCAAATCGATAATGACCTGGGGCGCCAAATTTCAAATACGGTCTTGTCTCGAGCTCTTCCGTGCTTCGGAAGGCAACTAAAGTCATTGTTGCCAGCTACAACTGCACTCTTTAACACATACCAATTCGTTGTGGGTCCGCATTGTGGGTGATGGCCTGTTCTCTCTATTCCGCGCTTAAGTAATTCCCATACTCTAGCAATCAATAGACTGAGAGAGGGGCGTGTATTGAGAGCCCCGGGCCACTTCATATTTGCACACGATTTGCACACCCCAGAATTAGTAAATTAAATGAAAATATAGATCAGTAATGCCCTTATACGGCTTCTGCCGCCCCTGGCCATGGCCCTATAGTAAATACGGCCCTCTACACCGATAATTTAATTTTGATTCTTTACAAAATCATTCTAATTTTAACATTCACATAATTACTGACATGAACAAATTGACAAGATCGAATAACAATAATATACGTATTATAATAAGAATTATTGACATTTATATAGGTAATTGAATAGAAAAATTTGCATTTAATCTTTTTATGACTAAATAGGTTAAGATACAATTTAGATAAAATGTTACACTATTATTTGTACCCTATTTAATGCAAACAAATTGAATTGGCATGGATATCTTTGTTGGCCGGCGCTGTTCTAGTCCTTCCTTACATTATCACTAGGCCACTATTATCAGTCTAAACAAATTACGATACATAATTACTATTATGCATTCACCTTAATACACCGATTGCAATTTCTCTAACAAACCGTAACGGTTACGTGGCAACAAGTTATGTTGCACCTAAATATAACTTAGTAAGTGCATTACGGATTTCCACTGCAACGCTAAGAGTAATACTACGTTCTACGATAAAAGAGAGATTTTTAGAGAGCAAGTGTATAGCGGATTTCCTGCTCGCTACCAACTAACTTCATCTTACAGAAGATCACAGTTAATGAATGCTATATATTTGTGGTGTTGTATTTCAGTCGATGAGTAATGTTCTAGGTCTCAACGTAGGTAGGTCATAGGATAAAAGCAGGCAACGTGCGAGTGTAACTCTGGTATCGGAAGTGTCTATACTGAAGTTATTATTATCGTTGTGTTGGATAATTTTTAATTAGTGTCCCAAAAAATGAGAAATTAATTTGATTTAAACATCTGTACCAATTCCAAATTTAAAGACAGACTATTCCTTCCATCTAGTATACAAACTTAATTCTAAACAGGCTATGTTGGCTGCTAATCATCAGACGGGATGTTCGTTATATAATTTATTGCGAAAGGAAGATGAAAAAAAACCAATTCATCATTAAGTGATTATAATACACACCTGATTCTACTGTCCAACGATATAACTGTCTCTCTTTTTATAATAATATACATTTTCAAAGAAAGGTGATAGAAATTTTACATAGTTTTTGATAGAATTCACACTGTGTATGTATTGCTTTGCTCACTTTGCACCGTGGGATCCGCTGTGTAGTTTGAAATTTATTTGAAATTCGTATTCTAATTTCAAATCACACCGCATTTTCAGCTATGAAAAGTGAGTGTGTTCTTAAAGAATGGCATTGCCAATCCCAAAGTAACAGACAAGTATGTTATAAAATATAGATCCAATTAGGTACAATTCTGGGTCTTTTCCTGGAATTACGGGACTAGTGATAATGACCATTAAAAAACTGAGCAAGCGCTAATAGGACTTGCCTACCGAAGGTCCCATACAAATTTGTTGGTACGCAACATAAATGACCATATTTTTTGCGTTAACTTTTTTTCACAGCTTCAAGGGACCGCAGACCTGAGCAGCAGTTTAAATTTCATCTTGATACCTCCTCGCGTTCCGAGATAAAGGGTCTTAACAGACAGACGGACATACGGACAACAATGTGATCCTATGAGGGTTCCGTTTTTTCTTTTTTAGGATACGATACCCTAAAATCGAGCGAGAAAGCTTACAGTAGTCGCAAATGATGTGTAACATCTGTTATCTAACATCAATGGTGATAATTAACATCGACATCAACTTTATCATGAAAACGATGGAAAAGCAAATAAGCAACGGAAAATACAACCGCGTGCGCTCTTTGGTCAAATCAGTACGCACCTTTCCCCGACTTCTTATTACACATTTTCATTCCTTTTCACAAAATTACTCCAACATATTCCACGAAAGCGAGAAAAAAAATGGTACGCATCAAAGAAAACGACAGGTTGCACTCCGGGAGTGCCGGCAGAAGTGAAAACTTGAATATTAACGTTGTGCATTTTTGATATTTTGAAATGGTTAGGGAATAATTTTGCACGAATTGCTTTAATTATCAGTATAAAAGTACTATCATGTATGTAGATATACTCTTAGATAAAGACTTATTGTTATAATACGGTAAAAATATGACTATGTTTCGTCCAAATATTATAAGTCAACAACCTTTCCAATTTTATTGTGTGACATGATGCGATCAGCCCACGTGTTTAACCTGACGCGAGTTTAACATTTTTAACCTATACAAAAAAGTGTACAACGCCGCTAAAGAAGTTTTCACTTCAAAAATTTAATTGAAACAATGCCACATATTTTCTTGCAAAAGACATCAACGAGCTACGTTTTCGTGTTGCGTCAACCCACGCGTACCTATGCATTTGTAAATAACAATGTTATAACTCCATTGTAGTATTGCAAAACTATCTGCCTACATATAAATGAGATACGATATTCCTTAATGTATAAATTAAACTATCAATGATGCCTACTAGAGTGGTGTGCATTTAAAAACAAAAGGCAATACGGTATTCAGTAAACAGCTTATGCAAACTTAAAGAGGCCAAAATGTATGTAGCGAAAATATATACTTACTCGTATGTATTTAATAAAATCAAAACGTACTTATGCCTGCCATTTCTTTTTTTGGGTTTATTTCGTTACTAGAGTCCTTTCGTCCGCGATAACTTTAGTTTTTTTTAATAATCTCACAGGAACCTGTAATTTTTTTATATGTGATAAAAGTATTCCATGTCTCAATCATAAACATAGGTCATAAACTATATGCATACCAAATTCGCAATTTCTACGTAATTGAGTAATAAAAATACTAAATTTCACATTTATAATATTAAGTAGGATCTAACGAAAGTGTCCTATTGGTAATTTACTTCGTTTATGTGAACCGAATTATAATCAGGCATTATTCTTTAAGAACCAACATAAAATTAACGGTAAATGCATAACAAAGCACTTTAGTTTGCGTTTCCGGCATTTTCGGGTATTAGCCACAATACTATCATGTTGGCCACGTGTTAATTCAACTTATTTATAATAATAATGAAACTAATAGTAACTTTGCAAGGCTATAAAAACTACTTCTTTCTATATAATAGATACAGGAATAAATTACTACAAACATTAAAAGTTATTATGTAAATTCCTATAATTTAATGAGCTTGAAGGAATTTAACATTTTAAATACACGTCAACATTTAAGTATCTAACATTATTTTGCTCTACTAGTGATTTCCAGGACCTCGTGTTATATACAGTAGTGGCATTTTAAGATAAACTTTTTAAGCAAAAATCTTTTAATTAGTTTAATTCCCGGTCCATAATATGTCTAAATCGAATATTTAATCTTTTCGTGCGATAGTTGCGATGCCGTTACTGTCAGTGCCTTTGATTTCCATTGTATCTACAAGTTTTTTTAGCTACTTACCTTGAGGACAGGGCATTTATGTTTGTAGGTATATGTTCAAATTAACTTTTAAATTTCACTTCTTTACGTTCTTAGAAAACAAACAAAACAGCAAAAAAAAAATCCAAATATAAAGTTACTACTTAATTTGTTTTTGAAAGTTTTACACGTACAAATGCCATACCAACTTGTATCCTACTTATATTTTTCTCACAGAAAATAAATGAGAAGAAAATGTAGGTACCTAACAGTGAACTTCATGCTTCTAGCTACATCTAGCGGTTGAGCTGTGCATTGATCAAATATTCAGCTCTCAGTATGTTATTATGTGAACATAAAAGATAATTGAATTAAAATATTTTTTATTATATTAGCAAAAAATACATTACAAGTCTATCAGCCTACATTCCAGTGCAATAAAAAATGTGCTAAAAAATTTAAACAATATTAATTGGCAATAATTCGATCGTTTGATGCAATCATCAATTTATGTTACATAAATTGATTGCAGTGCTGCCACGCCTAAAATGTAAAAGCTTCCTTGTTTGTGCTCGCTATACCAGTTTGAATTCACCGATTTGATTTTTATAAGTAACAGCTAATAAATTGCAGCAGAAACTGCAACGTCCATCCATTCAAATACTAAATTAATGTTCTGATGTACCTATAGGTGGTATATTTCGGCCACTCAATTCTTCGTGTGTTAATTGATCCGGATTTATTGCAAAATTTAATTTTGTAACTATTTAGTTAATGGTGACATTCACATAACCTCTAAAGATCAAGACAACATTTATTTCTGTTATCTTAAACATTTTTATCCATAGCCAAATTATCAAATTTTATATTTAAGAGTGTTTATTCCAACCTTTCTCTTTAAACTTTTAATCCCTTTACATTCTTTGAGCTGGAATTTCTGATATTGTCTTGTTATTGATTATTAAAATATTTCTGTCTAAATTGCATGGTACTTAGATAATAATTTAAAAATCCACATTTTAAAACGATACTGAGCAGATTTTGAATGAAACTTGCACTGACATTCCCTAAATTAAAAAAATGCCTGCCTTATGTTCGAAATATTAGCAACATAATACGTGGTTTCAACTTGAAGCGAAACATGGTTCAATTCCAGCTTAATACTAGCGCAAAGCAGATTTTTAGTAAAAATAAATCATTAAATCAAATAACTACCAAGTGCATCCTTAGATAAAAATGATTAATTTCGAAAATAGAACTAAAAACAAAAGTAAAATATAATATCCAGTTTACACAAAAATCTGGAAGGTTCTAGCACGATTTGGAAATCGGGCAGGCGAGGCCTGATTGAGACATGGAATAGATCGGTTTAACTCCGTGTTTTATTCTTGACCCAGCCCGTCTTCCAAATTCGGTTTTAGTTTAAAAATATTATCTTTTCATCTCATCCATTTTAGTTTAAAGCTCCTTTACACATGAAAAAAACCTCTTAAAAGCCGTACACAAAGTATCGTGAAAATTACAATGTCCAAGTAAACAAAAATGCTTATAAAATGAAAACTACTGGGTCAAACAAAAAATATTTTTATGGTATCAGGTGGTAAGTATCTTCCATCGAACACAAACAAGAATATACTGGCCGAATAGAGAAATTCCTCCTTTTTGATGTTAGTTAAAAAAAACTAGAAGCTTCGTTCTGTCGAATTCATGCTTTAAAACAAAGTTAGAGAATGTGGGCATTAACCAGTCACTGGCACATAGGCACGAGAAATTCTGTTATCCATTGCAACAATATTATTACTTGATCGCTGTGAGCAGGCCACTTTAACATTACCTTGAATGGCGGAAGCGCAGAACACTGTCCTTACATATTTCAGCCCCGCTGGAATGCGAGACTTCGTTTCGAATATTTAAAATAGTTTCATAAAAAATATCACATAGAAGACTTATTATATTATCTATTCAAGAAAATGCGTAACTGACGTAATAAACAATAATTTATAAATGACACCATTAAAGTAACATTAAAAAAATAAGAAGTGTAAAATAAGCATCAATTTGCATGTTTGCAAAACTCGAAATTAAAATATTAGCCATCATAACTTCATTACTCCGAGTTACTTAATATAAATTATAATGAACATATTACAATATAACTGGAAAGACGTGTTTTTATTTCATTTAAGAATGAAATATAATCTGGAAACGAGTAAAAATAGCGCAAGGGTATTGCTGTTAGTTAAGTGCAATAAGCCTAACTCATAAACAAAGATCGCGCTAGAAAATTTCATCATGTCTCCGAAAGTGGAAACGAAGTAGTCACTGACTTAGTATTAACTCTAGCATAAAGTTCTGACTGAAATTGATAAGTTCTAAGTCATTTTGGGGTGAAATTTTATCGTATGACTCCTCTGAGCTCTGACTATTGGGCAATCAATGGGCAGTGATTGCGAGAATGAACAAGTCAACTTAGGTTACTGTTAAATATATATTTACGACCATTAGTTATTAATAGTACCTGTGCAACGTTTTTATTATCCGGCCAAAAGTTCTACATTAAATTCTATACCCATCGAAGCCTAATATTAAATAACTTGAACAGTGAATTCCTAATATTGACAGGTCTTGTACATAGTGTTAAATACACTTTTTTCATAAGATCTATATTGCATAAGATCTCTTTAGATGATGTAATAGGTTCATTAATTATTCTTTTACAACAATACTATGATGGATTTAAAAGGCGTGAACGATATTATCATTATTTTTTTTGGTTCAAATCTGAATCAAGTATTTAATGTACCAGACGCGGGTAAAGTCCACGACTCTCGAAAGTATGCCGGTACCAATGATCAGATACATAATTAAGCTTGCGAGTCGGTTTGCTGTATGACTTTATAGTCAAAACTGGTATAACTTATATGTAATTGTTTTTCATACCCATACTTCCGCGCACATTTTAGATAGGTAGCGAAAAATTGCATTACTTACTACCTAAATTCCTATAATTAAAATAAATGTGTATTGAAACAAACTTATTCTTCTGTTACAGATATGTATGATGTGTGCAGTCACAGCTTATGCACAGTACGATTCACCTACTCCTCCTAGACTGCAAATACCAGGGGCGATTCCTTTAGGTGGGCCTGCAAGGCAAGGAGGCTTCAGACAAGGAAGATTTAATGTCGCTCCAGTTCCAGGTGCTATACCAAGAGGCAGAAGACCAGGGCTAATAAGACCCTCTTTCAAATCCGTTGACGCAGCACCAAGGCCCAGTCTTCAATCACTAGAAGAACTATCCAAACCAGTGACCGAGGAACCCGAAGATGATTATGAGATCAACACACCCACCGCCTTCTCTCCAAATATTCTGTCAACACCGGAACCGCAAAATGACTTCTTCGACATCACTACTACCTCTCAACCGAAACCACCGATCATATTCAACCAATCACCATTCCAGCAGTCTACACCATCAGTACCAAAACCCGAACCGATAAAGCCTACGCAATACAGACCATTACTCGTGCCGCAATCATTCAACCCCGTAAGAAACGAACCTAAGCCTCAGCCTGTAAGACTGCAGCCGTTGTCAAGTCGACCACAACGACCTATTTTCAGACCAGAACCGAGACCGTTCGTTGAAGAGGAAGAGGTACCCGTACAACAACCCGTTAGACAATACTCGAGACCACAAGAGCCCAGTCGCGCGCCTATCAAGAGCGTTCCTCATCAGAAATACACACCATCAAATCCTAGAGAAAAAAAGCCGGTGGCACAAATCATTCGTAAATACAGAGATGAAAATGAAGACGGTAGCATTACATGGGGTTTCGAAAATGACGATGGATCCTTCAAAGAAGAAACCATCGGTGTAGATTGTATCACCCGCGGAAAGTATGGCTATGTTGACCCTGACGGTTTGAAGAGAGAGTACAATTATGAAACGGGTATCGCATGTGATAAGAACAATCCAAATCAGGAGGAAAAGGGATTTATTGACTATCAAGAAAACAAAGCTGTATTGCCTAATGGAATAACCATCGATCTCACAGCCATGGGCAAAAAATCTAAAAGGCCATTCCGATCACCTGTAAATCATTAGCGTAAGAATAATTTATTTAAGGAAAATCTAATTTAGGTACATTTTTTATTTCGTCATGAAGCATCAATATTTGTGACATAACAAATCCAGATGTAAATATTTTGAGTCTTGGGAGAATGACTCTGATCTTCAGTCAATGAATTTATAATTCTGGAAATAAAAACGTGAAGTTTATGTTGTTTTTTTAATTTAATTTCCACCTACACTTTTAATTAAGTCTGATAAAGCGTACAGCACATACAAAAAATTACCATCGTCATCTTATTGATGTACCCGCTGGAAGGGCACATGCCTTCCCAGGCATAGGGATGACATAGGGAAAATAAGACATATCCTGTGCCATTACCCATCACGCAAACCCAGTGCGAATTGGTGGGCGTTAATGACTACAGATTCAGCCAGGATCGACGGTTTAACGTGCCTTCCGAAGCACGAAGATCTAGAATCGAGATCAACGTGCTAACGTGCTTGGATGATGTTCAAATATTTATCATCTCATAATAAGTTTTTAGTCACTCATAAAATGACCGGCAATTGCGAAAGTTGGTTAATTTTCATAATCGCAAACCGAACGGGTTAACTTACCTGTGACATCGAACTCCTCCATAACACACATTATGATGGCTGAAATTAAGACGTAGATAAGCAGATAAGCAAGTTAGTTAACTTACTCTTGAGCCAGAAGCAACTAAATTAAATATACTGTAATTATCCTGTAACCAAGCGAATACTAAAATTTCACATATTATTGTGTGATGTAAGATGTTCGATCCGATAAAACGCTCAACAACGCTATCCAAACTATTGAAGAAACCCTGTTAGCTGGTGCTAACCAAGCATTTTCATATAAATTTAACTCTACTTACAGTTACCATCATGTGGTGATGAGAGCCAGGAAATATTACTCTGACCTAATTATTTTTTTGTATGAGCAGGCAGTTATCCATTATTCGAGTTTTTTTTTACCAGCAATCGTGTTACCTCCCCGGAACATATAATTTTTTTTAAACCTGTCATGTGCGTGTTGGCTGTTTTTGTACTATGAATAATTACATTTCGCAATTATTCCCAGTAGGTACAGCGTCTACAAAGAAGAGCTCTTCACTTCACCAGAAAAAATATGTAACCAACACATACATTGAGACGTTGTTATTTTCTGATATCCAAGCGTACGAAGTCATGGGCACAGCCACTGAATGATAAGTAGTATAGGAATTAGGATTGACAGAATTAATAGTATTTAGTGACTTAATGCTAGGACACTTACCCAGTTGTCCACTCTGATTATAGAGCAAAAAAAGTACTGTCCTTTTTGATAAAATGTTGCGCTAGAAATTCACGTGGCTATTCATATTTTGATATTTGTAATTTTGACAGCAGTAATCCTTATCTCACTTTCTAGGATATGTAAAGGAACGCCTGCTGGCAAAATTACAAATATGAATAACAATGGGAAGTACCAGCATTTTATATAACATAAATTATACCCAGTTCCAGTTATACTCTTTTGTCACTTGGGTGACAGCTATAAAGGCATATAAATATTTTAATCCGTGCGGTGACGGAGAAAGAATACAACTCACCGCCCCTTCTCTTCCCGTGGGTGTCGTAAGAGGCGACTAAGGGATATCGGAGCTTCCATCCGCTCTGCTGGTGGTAGGGTGCCTAACACCCGCCTGGTTTGTTCCACCGTGCGCATGGTGAAAAACCCGTGAAGTGCTTCTCGCGCGTTTCGGGGTCAGCCAGCGTACAACCAGGGCTCGAGTGTAGGTTGTCGCGACGGATTCGGTCCAGGGCGAGGTATCCGTCGAACCGATGCCGGGAAAACTGCATCGACCCGCCGGCCAGGGAGACCCGTAGAAACGGCTGTCCCGCTGGCCGCCCGTGGCACAGTACAGGGGCCCGAGCGTTCCTAACCAGTTCGCGAGGCTGCCCCATCATGTCACGCATAATCTCGGGGTAGACCGTCGTGCCGGTTGGTGACCGGGGCGTGGGGTCCCGGCGGCCACTTCCGGGGGGGTGCGGGGGCCCTTGCGTCCGGCGGGTCGGCGTATATCCTCTGCAGGCAATTATTCGGGGAAACATGCCTCCCTAATTTGCCCGGTCTTGTCGCGACAACGTCCACTCGTTTCACGTCTCTTTATCACTTCCATAATGGCAGCTCTCAAAACAAAGTTTGGACGTACAGCGGTGCACACCCCCACGCCTTCAACGCTGTTTAAGGTCGAGTTCTGCAACAGACACGGACTCCACTCTAACCTCAATGCTGTTCACCACCATCTTGAGACAGCACGGCCAGCATTGTTGTTCCTGACGGAGACACAAATACTTCCGCCTGCTGACACAGGCTACCTTAATTATCCCGGCTACGTGCTTGAAGAGTCCTTCAAAGCGAAAGCCGGTGTATGCCTGTATGTTCGGGCGGATGTTTGTTGTCGCCGTCTCCGCTGCTTGGAAGATCCCTCCTTCTCCATGTTGGGGGTACACGTCGATTCTGGTCCCCAGGCCAGAGTCTACGTGTGCCTCTACAGATCCCACACTGGCGATGTTGAGACAACTCGACTTTTCGAACATCTTAGTCGGGCAGCAGATGACGCGCAGGAGCAATTTCCCAATGCAGAATTGGTGTTTTTGGGGGACTTTAATGCTCACCACAATTTGTGGTTAAGTTCCTCGAAAACTGACCATGCAGGGATCTCTGCTCACGCGTTCGCTCTCACGCAGGACTTGAAGCAACTGGTCGATCAGCCCACCAGGATTCCAGATATTTCAAGTCAAGCGCCTTCATTACTGGACCTTCTGCTTACGACCCATCCACAGGGCTATCAGGTTGTGGTAGGAGCCCCCCTGGGCTCTTCAGATCACTGCCTGATATCTGCCAAAGCGCCACAGGCCAAGCCTCCGCGTCCAACGGTGGTAAAACGCCGGATTTGGCATTATGGGTCGGCAGATTGGGACGGTATGCGTGACTACTTTGCGTCCATCCCTTGGAAGCAGCGCTGCTTCAGTGACAAGGACCTATCGGCTAGCGCCGTTGCTATTACTGAGGAGATTGTAATGGGTATGGAATACTATATTCCTCATTCCAATCTCATCAGTAAGGGCACACGTAACCTCTGGTTCAATCACGACTGTTTCGCGTAAGCAAGCGGCATATCGTGCTTGGATCAGAGGCCGCGCTCTTAAGGATCCCGGGGTCGATTCACTAAAAGCAGCCTACAATATTGCTTCCAAGGCCTGTAAGAAGGCTTACATCAGAGCGGATGCCCAGCGCGTAGCACGTGTTGGTCACGAACTAATAACGCATCCTACGGGCTCCCGTAGCTAATGGCGTTTGGCCAAGGCCGTGCAAAAGAACTTCTGCCAGCCCTCGCTGCCACCTCTGAGATGCCCAAACGGAACACTAGCTCATAAGCCGCAGGAGTAAGCCGATTTACTGGCAAAACTCTTTGCGGCTAACTCCCGAATCGATGATTGCAATGCACCGCCACCATCATTACCTCATTGTGGCACAACGATGCCGGATATCAAAATCAGGCAGCGTGAGGTTCGTGCCGAATTGCAATCACTCGACGTCCGGAAAGCTAGTGGACCCGATGGCATCCCAGCAGTAGTACTGAAAAAATGTGCAGCGGAGTTGTCTCCCGTGCTCACGCGTTTGTACCAGTGCTCGTATTCTTTGGGGCGTGTGCCGGAGACTTGGAGAGATGCTAACGTGCAACCGGTACCCAAAAAAGGGGATCGCTCAGACCCGGCTAACTACCGGCCAATAGCAGTCACCTCAGTATTATGTAAAGTCCTCGAAAAAGGTCCTTAACAACCATCTGACCCGCTACCTAGAGGATCACTCCCTGATCAATTATCGTCAATATGGTTTTAGACCCAAACGATCGACGGGTGATCTTCTAGCGTACTTGACTCATATCTGGGGTGAGGCTATCGACAAGCGAGGCGAGTCGTTGGCTATTAGCCTTGACATTGCCAAGGCATTCGACAGGGTCTGGCACAAAAGCCTTCTCTCCAAGCTTCCGGCATACGGTCTGCCGGCCCAGTTCTGTTCTTGGGTAGCTGACTTCCTGCATGAGCGTAGAATTCGTGTCCTTACGGATGGTAGCAGTTCGCGGTTCATGTCAGTGAATGCCGGCGTTCCCCAGGGCTCCGTCCTATCCCCCACTCTCTTTCTGCTGCATATCAATGACTTAATTCCTCTTGGGAATATTCATTGCTATGCAGACGATAGTACAGTGCATGCGGGGTATCTCGGACAAGCAGCGACTGGGCAGGCGGTAACCAAGGAGAAACGGGAGAATCTTGTCATTGAGCTCAATCGGGCTTTGGACCACATTTCTGTATGGGGTACCAAGAACTTGGTTGAGTTCAATGCTAAGAAAACCCAGGTCTGTGCTTTCACGGCAAAAACGTCGCCATTCCTTTTATGTCCTTCTCTTCAGGGCACACCACTGGAGCTAGAGAGCAGTATCACCATGCTCGGTATGGAGATTCACTGTGACTTAAATCCAAAGAATTACATCGAAAGTGTGATAAAAACAGCCTCACGCAAACTCGGAGTCCTGAACAAGGTGCGGCGTTTCTTCACGCCCGAGCAACTGTGCTTGTTATATAAGACGCAGGTGCGGTCTTGCGTGGAATATTGCTCGCACCTCTGGGATGGCTTCGCTAAGTACTTGCTCGATGCTTTGGATAGGTTACAGCGGCGCGCAATCCGCATCATAGGCGATGAGGAGGTGACTAAACACCTCGAGCCTCTTCAATTACGCCGTAACGTAGCGTCACTAAGCGCGTTCTATCGTCTGTACCACGGCGAGTGTTCTGAGGAGTTATTCTCTCTTATTCCACCTTCCCCTGTCCTTCAGAGGACCACGCGCGCTGGCTTACGTTGTCACCGTCTAACTGTGGCTACAATTCCAACGCGTACAAAGAAATTAGGTGACTCATTTCTTTGTCGTACTATCCGTAAATGGAATTCTCTGCCCGCTCACGTG